CAACAGCGAAGCATCTGAACCATCTCTTCCCAAAGAAGCCTCTCGTCTGGGAATTTTTGGTTCCTATAGAAATAAACAGCATAGCGCACAGGCTTAGTTCAGGTACAGTTTGAGTTCAAAAGATAAGTTTTCTTCTGAGCCCACTTAAGGGATACATTTAGCTCATTGTAGGTTCTTATCAATTTCCTCCAACTTTGCCCCCCTTTCCTGGTATTTCTAAAGCCAAAGAAAAAGCAAAAGTTTAGCGCTGCACAGCAAAAACGAATAAAAATTAAAAATTTGAAAGATCATGTTATACCAATAGATATATAAAATCATTTTCCTATTTCTCTAAATATTGGCCTTCGACTATATTATATGTTTAGTAAGCAGATATAACTGTTCCGTTCAACTATTCACTTCTGCCGAAGCAGCTGAAAAGACATTATCTATTTTACTCATTAGATTTGATGCATATGACTTCTTGGGCCGAAACATTCCAATTTGCTAACTTTTCCAAGTTTTCAGTGACGTTAAATTCGTCTTCCCACCTTATTATTTTCTTAATTTTACTCTTTCTACAATTATTCCTCAATTTTACCATTATAATAATCTCACAAATTTTCTAACTTTCATTTTTACCTTCTTTTTTTGTTCTTTATTTTATTCCTTTTTATTGTAACTTTCTTTTTTTACTACATTATCTTCACAATTGTCTTCCCTACTACCATACACCAAATTCCATCCTTTCTGCCTCAAATCGCAAGTTATTCAGCTATGCTGGATTTCCTTCGATTAGCACGGTCCACTACTTCACAAGGTAAGCTTTGGCCTACTTAAGGCCCTCATAACACCACTTTACAGCTCCAATCTTCTTTTTTCCACCCTGCTCGACATGACCAATTTTGGCTGGGCTTCTATCCCTCCTCTTTTTTATTTTATTTCTATTTGATTAGGCTGAATTAAAAATGCTACTCAATGAGCAGATATTAGTTACTAGTGATGTATACTGAAAAATATTGAAGAATGAAACTTATAACACATTATGAAGCGACAGCAATTTATAGCTGAGACTATTACGGTGTTTAGGGTCATTGAGCCATGTATATTTTGATTCAGCGCCCCCTCCCCTTTCCCCAAAACTGGACTTCCTCAGGCGGTTGTTATTGGCATCTGCTACTATTCGGGCTATTTTCAAGTGCTTCCGTACTTCATCTAGAGAGTGAACGCGATGAAACGGGAAGGGGAGAGGGAAGGGGCTGAATTTTTGAGCAAAAATTTCAAATTCGAAAATTACAAACTTAGCCACCGATCACTTTTTACAAAAAAATTTTTGGATTTTCAAGCGGCCTAACTAATATTTCAAGATAGAAAAATGTTGGCATCTTCATTCAAAATAAAAAACAGTGTTTCCATGGGATGCTCTGAGACACATAAGAAGTTCAAAATATCCTAATCAAAAAATTCTTGAAAAAAAAAGGAAAACTCACAAGAAAAGGTCCATCGCTTTCGTCGTTTGATGATGTGTGAGAATCATTGTTGACTGGACTGTCCAAGTCTGACTGACCAATACTGTGAGATTTGTGAAGATTATGCTGAAAGCTAAAACACTCCGAGTCCCACACTCTGTCCAATTTCATCTCCATCTCAAGATTAAATACAAATACTGCGAATAGTTGAATAAATAATTTGCAGTCAATCACCCAGGAGCCGAAGCTGAAAAAAAAAAGAAAAAATTCGTGAACTTTAAAAACTAGGAGAAACAAGTCCAACGTCCACACAGCCTTGCATAACTCATTAGAAAATCGACAAAAATCTCAAATCACGAATCTCAAAACTCAAATCGATGGCTGTGAAAAATCTCAAAAATCTCAAAAAAGTAAAAATCTCAAATCGGTGATTGTGAAAAGTGCACTTATGAAGCCAGTATTACCAAAAATACCAGAGATCACTCGAGGGCTATCAATGCCGGTATGATAAGTAACGGATATTCATGGCCGACTCAAAAATGAACGGTCCAAGTGGGGCGGTGGCCGAAATGG